GTGCGTTCTGTAGAAGTCACTTTATGGATTGAAGCAATCTCCAAGAGAATGGTACAAGCGGTTCGACTCATTCATGTCGGCAATGAGATACACTCAGTATGAGTATGACAGTTGTGTTTACTTTAGGTAATACAGTGAGGGTGCGTTCATATACTTTTTATTGTATGTGGATGAGATGTTGGTTGTAGCGATGAATAAGCAGGAGATTCAGAAGTTGAAGGCTCAGTTGAGCAAGGAATTCGACATGAAGGACTTGGGTGAAGCTAAGAAGATCCTTGGGATAGAGATTTATCGAGACATAAAAGCAGAAAAGCTATTCTTATCCCAAGGGAAGTATGTTGAAAAGGTGATTGAAAGATTCAACATGGAGAAGATGAAACCGGCGAGCACCTCCATTACCAATCACTTCAGGCGTACATGTGTTCGAATACAAACAAGAAGGAAGAGATGTCTCAAGTACCATATGCCAGTGCGGTTGAACAACTTATGTATGCTATGGTGTGGACGAGGCAAGATTTATTGTATGCGGTGAGTTTGGTGAACAGGTACATGTTGAATCCAAGGAAGCCTCACTGAGAGGTGGTGAAGTGGATACTACAGTATCTAAAAGGTACAACAAGACACAAGCTATTATCCAAAAGGAGCATGAGAAGCTGAGCGAGTTGAAGGGTTATGTAGATTGAGGCTATGCAGGAGATCTCGATCATTGAAGGTTGACTGCAGGCTTTGTATTCACTGTTGGAGGTAGGCTGATTAGTTGGAAGTCAAAGTTGCAGGATATTATTACACTTTTAACAGCTGAAGTAGAATACATGGTGGCAGTTGAAGCAGCAGAGGAGGCTCTATGGTTGAAGGGATCGATTACTGATTTTAGATTCAAGACTACTACCACAGAGTTATATTGTTAGAGTCAAAACACCTTTTTTGGTAAAGGATCAGGTGTTTCATTGGATGTCGAAGCATATTGAGATACACTTTTACAAAATTAGAGAGTGGAAAGCAAGAAAGGATATCAAGATGGTGAAGATTGATACAAGGGAGAATCCATCAGATAGCATGACGAAGCTAGTCACGAAAAGAATGTCAATGCGTCATTGGACTTCATTCAGGCACTCACTTAGTGAGGATGGCACGTGGTCTCAGGTGGAGACCACGACAATATTTGAATTTAGGTGGAGGTCATGACAGATGTACGGTATACTCATAGATTTGAGGAAGGCACGGAGCTTCTGGTCGAGGTCATGAAAGTATTTAGATACTCATGGTTTTAAGGATGGTACGCGGCATAAGGTAGAGCCGTGAAGGAGGAGAAGGGGTGATAAATACAAGTTGAGCCAAGATGGAGATTGTTGTAAATGACCCAAATTTTTTTTTTTGAGAAAAAGGATGGATTACTATATAGTAATCCATCCAGCTAAATATAACTGGTTGTTACATATAAAATGCACATTTCCCAACCAAAAAATGTGCACAAAAAGTCAACTGAAAATACAAAAGCACCAAAACCCTTTTGTACAAAGATTAAAACTCCCAAAAGAAAGCTTAACTACCACAAAAGAAGTATCATATCCAACAACAATCTTACTCATCACCATATAAACTAAAGCACTGAAGATTGAGGTTAATCCAGTTGAATCACGATACTGTTCTCCTCCCCTGCAGCTCCAGCTGGCTGAATCACCCCCAGTCTCTCATTCTTCTTCTTTCTTCTTGCTAACAATCTGGCCGCTCTAACTGAGATTGTAGAACCTAGCCAAAATGTAGAAAAAATCATAATCTTATTCAAAATCTCCAACGCTCTCTTCTTCTTGTTAGAAAAGAGTCTATCATTGTGCTCCTGCCATATGCACCAAAGAAGAGCACAAAAGAGAACGTCTCTTTTCATCTTGCATTCCTTATTTCCCCCAGCAGTCCAATTAAGCCAAACTTCTTTTAAGGATTTCATTTTGAAGTCTTTCCCAATCTTTAATTTGAACTGAATAGATTTCCAAAGTGAGAATACAAACTCACATTCAAATTGAGAGGGCTTTTGTGAAAATGAAAGCGACAGCAGCAACACAAAAGAAGCTGCAGCAACAAGCTTCACTATGTGTGGTACCTGCATGTAGTCATGGTCCAAAGAGTGGATCGCACGCTCCCACCGCAGGCGGTCCAAGTCTAGAGCTTAGACACGTGCACTCGTCGGTTTTTCTTCTGTTTTGGGTGTTTTTAGGGCTGTTTTGGTTTTTTATTTTTACTATTTTTTTGGTGGGCTTTTGGGTATCCAGTTAGAATCCTATTTAAAGGGTCTCCCATCAAGTTGGGGTTTTATCTCATGAGGAGTCCCGGAAGTTACAATCACCAAAAGAGAGAAAAAGAAGAGAGATCTATTACTTGTGAGGATTTGCAAGCTAGGGTTTGAGAGATCTTCTTGATAAAATAAAGGAACCCCACCCTTTCTCCTGTGGACATGGGCAAATTGTTGAACCATGTAAATCTCGTTGTTCTTGCTTTTGTGATTACATGCTAGTTTCATTAAGATCATTTTGTACTGTATCGCTAATAGTTTTCTGCAGTACACACTATAAGCATGGTGTTGTATATTTGATCAATTTCCAACAAATTGCTATCAGTGTAGAGGTTAATTCGCAACAAAACAATGTTTGACCCTCCTTTCCCTTGTGGGAGGTAGTAACTTCCCATACGTAATGAGCAAAGAAAAATTTGAACTAAAATATGGAGCGGAGTTTTGCAGGATTATTACACGACAACTATATATCGGTTCTTTCTGTTGTAGCATTTTTTTTCTCACATTTCTTTCATACTGGATTTTGTTTCCTCCTCTAAAAGAAGTTTCCTTTATGCCCCACTCAACATCAGACACACATACACACACAACCGGAAAAAAAATTGTGTGTGTTAACTCTGCTGCGAAAGCCAGTGTAATTGTTGACATTTCCGCATGAATTAAGTGATTGAACACTTAGTTTGATCTCAACCATAAGCGGATTGACAAAAGCAGAACATTCATGGCCTTGGTAGAACATGTAGGTTTGGAGAACCCAGTGTTGAGTTTGATTCCTCTAACCCCAAGTCTTTTATTCAGTAGGTTTGGAAAAGCAAATAATTTAGGTTTGGAGAAGCAAATAATTTAGGTTTGGAGAAGCAAATAATTTAGGTTTGGAGAACCCAATACTCAGCTACAGTAGGTAGTGAGAAATCCTCCCATAAATTTTGAAAAAAAATGAAAATTGAATTTTTTGCAGTGAGATGCATTGGTGGGGGTTACAAATCCATCCATTTGCATTAGAGGACCAAGGAACTTAACGGTCGAAAGTATCTTCTCATCACCTTTGTAGAAACAGTCAACACAACATAACACGGATCCAACCTACTGAGTTACAAATCAAGAGTGGTCATAAATAGGAAATGAAGTGTTCACAAGTAACTCTAAAGATTATCCTATAGCTGTTGTACCCACACTTACTCAAAATGAAAATGATATGATATGCATTCTCATTGGTAATAGAATACAAAAAGACCACCGGAAAAAAACACCAACCACCACAAAAAGAAAAATGAAAAAAAGGGCTTAATGGATATCTAATTCCTATAACACTTTATGAAGCTTCTTGTTATTTGATTGATTGATTTATTTCCTTTCTACACGCGGAGTAAGGGGGCACTCATGTTGAGTAAGATGAAAACAAATTTAATTTCCTGTTTTTCACCTTTCAAAAAATTAAATAATCGGAATAAAATTAACTAATCTAAATAAAACCAGTAAAGGAACTCTGTCAAATTGTACTACCTCTCCAGGGTTTACTATTAGACTTGCAATGTAATGCATCAAAGAACACTAATATTTAAATCTATGAAGCGTATGCAATGCAGCTCTAGGACATGCCATACAAGGATGATTCTTCGTTATATTTGTTCACAATCAATGATCTACATTTGCCAACAAAGCAAGTAGAAATACACTGAAGTTGCATGATTAATTATGTTGCCCTACATTGTGGGACATGAATGAGAGAACGTCTATGGCGGAGTGCATAAACAGAGTTCTTTCTCTCACTTATCTCACCTCCTCTCTTATGTCTCTCCTCTCTTGAAATTGATAGTTATCATACAAATTGAGGAATTAGCAAATTATTGCTTCAAATATAATTAAATTGAGGACTTACCCTTATTCAACATCAAATCAGCCGAAGAAGTTCTTCGTGACGCTTGCTGCAGTTGGCAATGTGAGTTTTTTCCTTCTGTTTCTTTAATTAGTAGAAGACTATGAATAAATGTAAAGCACTTTTTAGATTGGAGCAGCTGGTTTGGATTCTGACTAGCCAGCTCTTGCTCCTTAGGTTGGGGATCAAAGACACTGGTTGTCAACATTTATAATACAGACAGTTCTTTTTCTTTTTTCTTTTTTTCCCTGCATTTCTGTTTGCCATGACTCTGTGCAAAAAAAATTCTGAAACTATTTTACTTACGCCTCTGATATTCCTAAGCAGAAACCGTCATCTGCACGGAACAGCCTGATTTTTTTGTCCCCTCGGTCAGGTACCTTTGTTTCTTATTAGACATGTGCACTAATCTAACTGCTTGTTTTCTCAATCTGCTTTTTATTATTATGTTCCACTGAAGATCCATAACAATTACCTGTGAAGTGGGATTGATTTTTTACCATAAGTTACAGGAGTCTATAAACTGCTTCTGTAATCTCTTGAACATGTTTCAAGTAACATGTTTTTTTAGTATAGGTATGATGTGTGCACTTTACGCCTTTCATAATTGTGGCTTCTATCATTTTGCATACATCAAAAATCCTCTTTTAGAGATTTGTATACTTCATGCATTTGCGACATATCATGCGCATGACCAGCTTTCGTGCCTCGTCATTGGTATCATTTGTTTCCAACTTTCTGATCTGGGGACTTAAGAAGCTGAAGAAACCACCACTTAAGGATCAACTGATTATTGAAGACTATTGCAACAATTTTCAATA